GCTTCTCTTGCAACTCAACCGCTGTAAAAACAATGGACTCGCTGCCCGTTTGTGAGTGAGCATGGTAGCCACGGAGCACCTCTGCTTTAATATTTTCCATTTCAGTATCTTAACGCTTTCCAGGTTTCCCTTTGTGGCTGGAGCTGGCTGTTAAGAATTCCTTTGCATGCTCTTTCTGCATCTCAATCCAGAAACACTTTTTCAGTGGGATCCTCTTCATGAAGGAGAAGGATGCTGTGTGGATGCTTTTATTTTAAAAGAAGGATGCTTTTGTTTTTCTTGCAGTCCAAGTGATTAGATCTCTCATGTGGCATGTGGAGAAACCCGATTTTGATTCTCTTTGGTGAAACGAACTAAACTCTGTGTATCACATCTTTCAGAAGAGTGGTTAGCTACTAGTCTATATGCTGTTCAGGTACAGCCTGCTGTTAAATGACTCTATTTGCATTTCCATGGAGCACTTAAGCATTACTTGAGCCTGGAGAAGATTACGTAAGCCCAAAAAGATTGTCCTGGAAATGGAAAGCTGTGGGTTCTGGTCGTCTTTGCCAGAGCAGGGGACTAAACATCTGTTTTCCATATTTCTTGAGCAAGGGCTGTTAATGCAACCTGGTAGGCTGAGGGGAAAGAGAAAAGGAACACCTGCCTCCATTTTGTGGTGTTGAGATCCTAGTCCTTCACCCCATTTATATGGTTTTGCTTGAATGTGTTATAGTTAAGCATTTTCTCAAACCTGAAATATTTTTCTGATTGTTTTATGAGGATAAAATCCTAAAATTTTCACATATATTGAGGATAATTTCAGTGTTTCCTTTTACTGCCCTAGCTGAAATTCAGCTACTGAACTAGACCAGACTTCCCTTTTTGTTGGTTTGAAAAAATCATTCAAGCCTAAGTTTTACCTTTTTCCAGGAAATACGCATCAATTAAAAGCCTCTCACAGCTGTGAAGTCTGGATGGGAGTCACTGTAAATTCACATGCTGCTTTGTAGGTTGTGTTGACTGCTGATTTATTTGCTTATTTTTGTCAGGTAGAACTCCCAAATGAGGTAATTTAAAGTCTTTATATAGCAAAAGCAGCAGGCACAAGAAACTGCATTGCCAGTGAGGAAGTCTGGACTGACAGACAAGGTTCCACATATTGGCAGGTAATGGGCTCTCCCCCGCAGGTAGGTATGTTTGGGTGGAGAGATGATGTTCTGTAAGTTTTATCTCCACCATGGTGTTTCAACAGTGATGCTCCAGTTATGCTTCACTGTGCCCTCACACTGTTGTGCACCGCAAAATCTAGAGATGTTTTTGGTATTGTGTGGGGCACCACAGAGTGCATTAAATTAAATGTGAATAAAAACTGGGAGTCAAACTCATTTGAACTAATGAGTGGGATGCAATGGTTGTCTTCCTCTTCAATATTTGGAAATTTTCGTACGTCAAAGTCAAGACTGGTCTTTTTACCCATTTATAATAGATGAATTAAAAGGATCTCACCAGCCAAAGTCTGCAAGGCAAGAGAGCCTGGGAACAGGGAGGTAGCGGAACCACAGGATAATTTTAACAAGTCTGTCTGGACTGAAGTTGGGGCTGAAAGTGTGTTTTCTCTCCGCTGGAAAAAGCAAGCTCAGTATGAGGTATTCACAACATCTACTTCATGCATCCAAAATAAACCCCAGAGGAGTAAAGGTGGCAACCCGCGTTGCCTCTAGAGCTACTGGGAAGAAACAGGACTGTCTAGGAGGGGCAAGGATGTTCAGTCTACCAGAGAAAGGTATCTCCAGGTAGGAAGGAAGGTAGGAAGTGTAAACATGCTGCATCTGCACGCTGTAGAAAACGGTTTCCTATCAACCTAATCAGTATGTGCGTGCGTGTGAGCGTGATATGCAGAACTGCCACACTGTCCAGTCGATGAGGAGGGCAGAGCACAGCCAACAGTTGTACAAAAAACACTGGGGAGCTTTACATCAACGCCCGGCGGAGATGGTGTGTAAGGTCATGGAGGTTGTTTCTCAGTCTGGGGTGAATGTCTTGTGAAACTTTTTCCGAAAGCTCTTAACACAAGTGGTCTCAGATAGTCGCTTCCCAGCAATATGATGCCTTAAATGAAGGGGAGTGGAGACAGCCTGATAGTAAAACTTGTTTATTTACAGTGTTATGTATTACAGGAAAATCAGTTGAAAAAGTCAGCGCTTCTCTTTCTTCAAAGTTGCAGCATTTTGCAGATGTTAAGACAGATCTCAAGGATTTAAAACATACCTGCTTCCAGCTTTCCTGGCTGATCTGGATCTGCAAGGTGAGACCATCTAGGTTTTTTCCTTTTTTTTCTTTTTTCTTTTTTTTTTTTTTTCCTCAGCCCTTTGAGTTTCATGTAAGGCATTTATTTATTTATTTTACTTTTTAATGAGGTTTCAGCAAAACAAAAGACATTATCTGTGGGTTTGGTTGCTGTAGTAAACTTTAACACTTAGCACGCTGACGTTGTCCACCTTAATAGTCAAATGCATGCTTTGCCATTAAAAGGTTATGGACTCTGCTCAGCCTAAAATCCACGCTGGGCCACATGACCAGTTTGTTGCCTGCCTCAGACAAATGGTTCAGCTAATTGCTTTGCGTGCTGTCTTGTCAGCTTTTCCAATTCCCTCTGCCTTTACCCTGGTTTCCAGCATCAAACTGATATCTGCAGGGCTCTGAAACTCTCCCTTTACTTAGGGCCATGTACGACACCTTCATTCATACCCGCTAATTTCTTACAACTTGTGAGTTTTACAGTATCAACCAGAAAGATCTGCAAAGCAAATTTTCTGGAAGGGCCCGTGAGAACTAGTGCACGCACACGGATTCTAGGCTTTGTGACTGTCTTTTTTTTTTTTTTTTTTTTTTTTTTGGTTGCTGCCTTCCCTCCCCTTATCAAACGTTAAATAAAGCAAAACATTGACTTTGTTGTGGCCAGCTTCATGAAGAGTGAGCAAATGTGAATACGCAGCAGTTAGATGTATGTCTGCGGTGGTGGTGTTAAAGTGTTTGCACGCCGCAGTTATTTTGGTCACCCAGTTTGTGATGGTGTAGTTTAGTAGCCAGGCTGCTCAAACCTATGGCCTGTGCCGCAGCATGGCGGGGATTTTGGTTTTCTGCTGGAGCAGAAAGGTTTTGCCCACGTTGTAATGGAGCACAGGAACTGGAGCTGGCTGGAGGCAGGCGGGATCCAACGGGACTTCCAAGCACAAATTCAGACTGAACTCTGATCCGTACCACTTTCTCCTCTTGCTTTTGCTGGACAAACCCGCCTGTTCTTCCCCCATCCCGTAGCACTTCCGCAGCCCCTTTCCTTCCTGTCCATGAGCCCCGGTGGCCGCAGTCCCCCAGGCTGCTCCCAGCGGGGCTGGCTGCCCGGCGCCCACACCGCTCCCTGGGACAAGCCTTCCCGCCTTTGCCCCTCCAGGCGCCAAGACGCCCTGATGACAGATCATCTAGTAGGGGATAACTGACTTGGGAGGTGGAGAAGAAGTGGAGGAGCAGGATTTGGGACAGCCACCTCTGCAGCTGCTTGGTCCCTCTGTGCTGGCTGCGCCAGGGGTTCGTCCCCCTCTTACCCCAGGACCCTGTGGGGTGATGGGAGCGAGAAGACGCAGTCCCTTTACAGAACTGCTTCGGCCTTGGTGGGCTGGGGCAACTCCAAAAGGTGTTTTTCCTGAGAGAATTTGTACACACGAGATTGGAAGAGACCAAAACTAGAAAAAGGGAGAGGGAAAAAGCCTGTGTCCGCTTCCGGTAGAGATTTTGAAGAGGGCTAAATGAGAAAAGGGTGAGGGCAGATCTCCAAAGCTAGCCCTGGCTTTTCTTAATCATTTAAGTGGGAGGTAAACGCAGCTAACTGAAGCAGCAAAGGTGGTGACTGGCCTTTGAATGAGACACATCGCTACAGCTGCAGACGGCGAGTCCCTCCTTGCTTTCCCTGCAGAGGATTGTGCCTCAGTCCCACCTGTTTCTCCAGCCAGGGACCAGTCCGAATAAGACCCACCTAGCACAGAAATTCCCGTGCTTTGCTCGTTGCTGAATTCAGTTTTAAGGTCTTCTGCGTCCTCCAGTCTATTCATATTTGTCATGTGAGTTTGCTTCAAGTTAGCAGCGTTTGTATAGAATTACCTTTGTGCATGTTTACACTCAAAGGATTTATCTTTAAGTTGCTGAGCTCCCATTTCTTTCAAAATCCAGTTAGTCAGAACTCTTATTAATTCAGCACATCCAAAGTGACTTGCTTTGCTCTGACTAGAGCTCAAAAATCCCATATAATCGTGTAATATCATGTATTGTAAATACCACACCCGGCAGCCCCGGGTGCTACCAATCCAGCCCCCCGAAACAGCAAGCTCCTGCCAGCCTTCGTGGTGTTCGAGTCGGGTTGCGCATACGTAAAGGGAGTGAGCACAGTGCACGTCTGCCCGCAGACCCTGGGATGGTGCGTCTGGGCTCTGCTCTCCCTTATGTCCTTCCCCAGGGCTCCCACAGGACCAAAGGAACGGCTGCACCTTGCTGGTGTCCGCGGAAGGGAGCGTGCTTTGGGGGAACGGTTCGGAAGAAGCGGAGAAGGGTATGGTGATGGAAAAGGTACGATTCTCGCCTTCCCTCGCCTTTTCCTGACTGTGGCCACAATTTAGCTGAATGTGTTGGGTGTGCTCCAGACCTCCAGCCTTACCTCCAGACCTCTCGCATGCACAGAAAGCGCTTGGGGCATTAGTCTGAAGAGAGTCCTAACATTTTCAAGGCATTGATGGATTTATCCATCAAGTGTCTTATAAGGCGTTTTTGTGTCAGCATTAGAGATCAGAAAGATTTTCTTTTTCATATGAGAGAGATCTTGACCGCCTTGTTCTGATGGTGATCTTTGACAGGACAAGTAATTCTACTTGTTTTGTTAAAACCTAAATAGCAGTACATTAAGTGTCTGGTACAAAGAACTGATAAAGGTAACCAAACAGGTTTTAAGCTAAAGCTTGTAATTCAGTCTTTTTTTTTTTTTCCAAAGAAAAAAATCATAGGGAATACTATACTTATTGTGCTTTCTTGTTGTTCAGGAATCCATTGGCAGCAACAAAGCAGTCCTTATGGAAACCGTTCTTGATTTCTGTTGTGACCGAGGTTTCCTTTATAGCTGTTCTTGAAGGTGCTTTCCGGTATGTCTGTAAAAGCAAAATCCAAAGTAAATACTCAGATTTATTTAGTGCCCCCTAAACATTGCTTCTGGTTAACTGTAAAATGGAGCTGTCTGGTGTTTGTTGATGCGGATGTACATATTTGCTTCAGACTGCATTAAGGGAACCGTATTTTCACTGCTGCGGGTGATATTACCTTATTAGTATTACTGTGATACTTCTTTGATGTCAAAAGAGATTTTAAGCCCTTTTCACTAGAAGCTCTATGTATGCAGGCAAGCTGGAGCCTTTTTTCAACCTAAGAAAAGGTCGCAATAAACAATGCATAGACAAAGATGCTTGTTTCTTTTTTCCAAGGAGGGGGAAGATTCAAAAAGTTGCCCCACAGTGCAAATTCAGGCCCCCTAAATCCTGCATGCGGTACCTGAGTTGCTATACAGTGTAGAAGAGCTGAGCGGCAATGGGGAGGTCGTCATTACTGAAAAACCGTCTCTTGCAGACATCACTGCATCTGTCATTCTGAACTGACATATCTTTTTTAATTCAAACATATTTTGAGTCCTGATGCTCATTCTGTGCGTGAGCTCATTAAGACTGCTATCCAAAAAGTTCTGTGTTTTTTCCCCACCCTTCTCGGACAGCTTTTGGAAGACTGCTTACCTTAATGTAGAAGTTAATGAAGAGAATGACCAGTGTGGCCATGTAGGAGGACTGGAACATGAGGCAGCCAAATGGGAATCCACACGGCTTCACAGCTGCACTGAGTGTGTGCACAATAGTGAGCAGAAACTGGATCTGTGGGGGAAAGAGCACGGGTGAGTATTTGCTGAGAAAGGGTCAGTGCCAGCTACATCAGATATGACGATGTCCTGCTCTTTGGAAGTTTGAGTACCCTTGAAAATGATCCCTTTCTGAACTTGTGAATGTATTGTGAGGGTTAAGTTAAAATGGCACTCTTAGGAAATTATAAAAAACCTAAGGGGTCAGAGATTTATGAAATACAAGTTTATAGGCCTAGTTGGCAAAATGAAAGCCCTTTTATTTTAATAGGGACTGTTCTGTCTTCCAGACCGTGTTGTGCTAGGTACAACATTATCTCTGTTACTGGTCAGAAACTCAAGAAAACTCTGAAGACTCCAGGCAATAGCTTTGGAAGTCTGAACCGAATATGGAAATCCCAGCTCTGAGGAGAAGTTCAGGTATGCTGGCGTTCACATTAACAGAGTTAAGATGGGGACAAATGAAGGAAAAATGAGCTGGAGGAGGAATTGCAGAAGGCTGGCTGTATTTAGGACTGAACCACAGTGCACGCTGATGCGTCCGATTCCTCCCCAGCCAGCTGAGCGTGCTTTCCCTCCAGTGTGCTGTGGTGCATTTCAGACAGGGCAGCAAGTTTCAACTGTGGGGATGGTCTCAGCTCAGAGAAGAAGCATTTGCTAAACACATTTCTACACAGGCGTTTGAACACCCAAATAATATGAACAGGCCCTAAGGTTAAAAAAAAAAAAAAAGTGAAAGGAACTTTATTTCACATCAAGACTTATCGTGTTGATAAAAGCTTTTGTTGTGGCTCAGCTCTTTGGGTACAGCAACTGCTGAGTAGACTTTTAGAAGTTGCCTGACTTCTATCTTGTCTAAAAGTTTGTTTACATCACTTTGCATTTTGTAGTTGCACCGTAGTGTGGTGGGCTAACTTTGGTTGGCCGCCAGGTGCCCACCCAGCTGCTCTCTCACATCCTCTCCTCAATAGCATAGGGGGAGAAAATAAGATGAAAAAACTTGTGGGTTGAGCTAAGGGCAGGGATGGTAATTGGTAAAACTTACCAATTAGTGTTACAGGCTCGACATCAGGAAGATTAATTTAATTTTATTGCTAATTAATAACAGAGAAGGATAGTGAGAAATAAAACAAAACTAACGGTACCTTCCCCTAAGCCCCTGTTTCTTCCTAGGCTCAACTTCACTTCTGACTCTTCTACCTCCTTCCAAGTGGTGCAGGGGGATGGGGAATGGGGGTTGCAGTCAGTCTATATCGCTTTGGCTCTGATGCTCTTTCTTCCTCATGCTCTTCCCCTGCTCCAGTGTGGGGTCCCTCCCGTGGGAGACAGTTCTGCATGAACTGCTCCAATGTGGGTCCTTCCCATGGGCTGCAGTTCTTGAAGAACCACTCCAGTGTGTGTCCTTTCCATGGGGTGCAGTCTTTCAGGAATGGACTGCTCCAGTGTGGGTCCCCCACAGGCCACAGGTCTTGCCAGCAAACCTGCTCCTGTGTGGGTTCTTCTCCACAGGCCACAGCTCCTGCCAGGAGCCTGTTTCTGCGTGGGGTCCCCCATGGGCTGTAGCTTCCTTCAGGGCATGTCCACTTGCTGCAGTGTGGGGCCTTCCACAGGCTGCAGGCGGATATTTGCTCTACTGTGGTCCTCCATGGGCTGCAGGGGGACAGCCTGCCTCACCATGGTCTTCTCCAGGGGCTGCAGGGGAATCTCTGCTCTTCCTCTCCTCTTTCTGCTCTTCCTCCCCTCTTTCTGCTCTGACCTTGTTTCTCTCTCACTTCCTCACTCCCCTCTCACAGCTGCTGTGCAGCTTTTTTTTACCCTTTATTAAATAGGATATCATAGAGGTGCCCCCGCTTTGCTGATGGACTCAGCTTTGGCCAGAGGTGGGTCCGTCTTAGAGGTGGCAAGAGCTGGCTCTGTCAGTTTTTATAACTTTTTAATCAGTCCATTTGCCACGATTTAAGCAGTGCCCGTTTTCTATGTAAGAGGCCAAAAATAATGGAGATTTATGGACTGTAGAGTTTCTACTGTATTGTAGAAAGTATTTCTGAGCATCATTTCCGCTATTGTTATACCAAGCTCTATTAGTGACTTATTCTGCATGAAAGCTTTGTTGTATTTTAGTTCTAACTGGCTTAATTCTGCAAATGACAATATATCATAAATTTATATATCATTCATTTTATCCTCTCTGGCGTTTTGAAGGATTTCTGGTGGTTAAAAATGAGATTAAAATAGATACATACCAATTGTGCCTGAGTGAGGTATTTCTTCCACCACAGATACTTGCGCATAGAAGGGATGACTGACAGTCCGTAATAAGAATACATAAGCACGTGGATAAAGCTATTCAAAGTGGGTCCAAAGAAACCTATAAAAATCCAACAAGGGAAACGTTTTATATACCAACTGCTAAAAAGTGAGAGAGAAGATACTATTGTTAGCAATGTCTCCTGCGTACGTGAGTCTTCCCTCTGTGCTTATCCTTTGCTAAAGAGATTCCTGATGTGAAGAGATGCTGTCCTGGGACAACTGACAAGCTTGAATGATACTTCTGTAGGGTTTTTTTCCTCATGCTGAATGTTGTATTTTCATCTGGTGTCTTTCATTTTCTCTGCTTTCCTCTTCTATTCTGTAGTTTGCAGGTTATTGCTTCTGCTCCCCTCCCCGAACGCTATTTGCACGAGTCTCTCCGTGACGGCTGTGAGCTTTGGCCGCTGCGCTGCTGGTACCGCAGCTTTGCGCCCGGCGGGCTCCCGCTCCCCGAGGCCGTGGTAAGGCTTTACTCTGAATTAAACCAGCCTCGTGTGGCTGCGTTTCAGCACCGCTCTCACTTTCTCCAGTGGCTCTTCTGCTAGATGCAGATTTTCAGAACTTCTCCCCGGATAATACCGTGCCACTCTGATTACCTACACTTAGTAAATACTAATTCTAGAGCTAATGAATTGCCCTCTGTACCTTACGGACTACTCAGAAGTAGCAGCACTACTCCGTCCGCTGTACGCTCACGTGTTTGATGGCAGAGCTTGACGACTACAGGAGGTCTCACCAATTGTTTTGATTTTCCACTGATTAATTACTTAGCCTCTGATTTTTCCACTCTGTTAATTATAATAGTGCAAAGCGTGGGGGTTACGTTCAGACACAACGGAACGCACAAACCCCCACTAATTTGTTTACACCTCTGTACGAATGGATTGTAATTCCTATGAAATCCTCGATCTCTGCTTCTACCTATAACAGTGATTTACTTTGATTTTTGTGCTGTCCATAATAAGTGCCGACAAACGGGAATTCTGCATTTTGTTCTGGAAAACACCTGCAACAAGTTGCTTTACAAAACATTAGGGTGGACTAAGGCGACTCCCTTTAATAGCTTAAAGTAAGAAAACGGATTTTCTTCTCGACTCTGATAACAATGCCACAGGAAGCCTCTGGCTGTGCGAAGCCCTGGAAAAGTGTGCATGTTGTGGGACGCCTGAAGTCGTTTTCTGCTGTTTGGACTTAGTACACAAATGCCAATCGACCAGCCTGTGGCACTGTACGTCTTCCCCACCTTAATGGGGGAGATGGTGACAGTTACAATATCCTCCTCAGAGCAAAGTCATTTAGAGATTACTCTTGCGAAATATATTGAACACAAAATATAATAAAGCGAAGGATGCTGCTACTTCTGCTATTCCGATATGAAATGTAAGACCGTATCTATCAGTTCTGGCTGTCCAGTAGTTCTACTTGAATGAGATGTATTCTCATTTAAAACAAAACAAACTCAAACTGGTATTTTAATTAGTGATTATCTTGCTAAAGCAGAACGTCAGATTGATGCATACAGGAGTCAAACTTGTAAAAAACGCTGTTGCATTCATTTCGTTGTGATTGTCACCGACTTTACTAGGGTCACGGTTTCTTCCTACAACTGCTTTTGGAGTAGGTCCTGTACGTGGCTGCTCCTGTGTACCTCTCAGTAGTGTTATCCTGCCCAAAAGTGGTTTGAAGAGAAGTAAGTACGAGAGGTGGCGGCAGCTATGTGCAACATCTAGGGCCTGACACTCCGATACTTTTGGCCCGACCTTTTAACCGTGGTTTTAATTTTGCTGCACTCTGCAGGTGTTCAGCTCTTCTGAAGGGCTCTGAACCTTAAAGGTGCTATATGATAGCTTGCTTTGCGTGGTGATGTGATTTCCCTCCGGCAGCAGGTGACGTTTACCCCGGGTGATGAAGCGAACAGGGACTTACTTTGCCCACAAGGTATCCAGTTCAGAACACACCACCAAATGTTAAACATAGTGGCATGGTGGTACACGTGAAGGAAGGTGATCTGGCTGCTTTTCTTTCTCAGTACAAAGAAGATGGTGTCCATGAATTCAATTACTTTGGAAAAATAATACCACCACAGCACCTTGGCTACCTGTACAAGCAAGAACAAAGGAGTGGGAGATCAGTATCTGCCTGTAAAAGGGCTTAAATATTGCTGTACTTGTATCAGCCCCTAGGCATGCAACTTCCCAAAAGGCATTAATGTCCTATTGAAGGAGGAGCACAAGCTCTGGCTTCAATTTTATTTCTCTTTTGAATGAAGCAGCTTAGAAAAAATGTATGATTTTTAATGTGTTGATATAATATAATATAATAATACTAATAATA